GTAGCTTAAGTTGCTCAAAAAAGATATTCCTTCTGATATAAAGCGATCATCGACTTTCTAGATACAGCAAAAAATTTCCCTTCTCTTTCCTTCAAATGAAATCTATCGGTGAGTCTTATAAAAGAGTTAAAGATTGCATAATATGTATATTAATGAGCTCTCTCCCTCCCTCTCTCTGTCTGTCTGTCTTTCTCATCACTTATTTTCTTATTATTTCAATTTGATTTCCTTGTCGTGCCATAATTTCTTTCACTCTCTTTAATTAATTTCCTTTCATTTTATAACGGAAGTTAAGTTAATCTCTGCGGTCAAATTTATCACATAAATGATCGAGTTATCTTTTGCAAGTAGATATTTATTCGTCAGCTATCCGGATATTTTTTCATTTTTTCAATTATATCCGTTTGTCGCACTGTAGCGGTAATATACGACTGTGTTGAAAAGTTATTTGAGTTAAATTTTATAGAAATAATTTATTTCTACAATGAAAGATAAGGCTCTAAAGAAAGGTACTACTTAGCAATAAACTTAAAATTTAATTTGAATTCAAAAAAATCAATGACTGATTGAATATTAAATGTAAGAAGATAGTTCGCAATAATTCAATAATAAAGATCAACTTTCAATCGACAAATTTGCAGCAAAAAACGAGTGGACTCTCGGATGATGACCTTCCGGTATTATAATATTGCCAAAGGTAGGGAGAAAGAGGTAGAGTATCCGGGATGTGGATGTGTTTAGCGTATTACCAAATAAAGCGGCCTGAAGTGGTTGTTTACTCAAGAGATTGATATAAATATGTATGGGATAGATCAGTGAGAGTTTCGGGATATATAAGATAGATCAGTTGAAAGAGAACAATATATCGGAGATGTCACTATCATTCTTCCTTAATGATGTTATACACTACGAAACCATTTTGAGAAGGTTTGCCTCCTCGAATTTACAATTTCTGAGATTATTCAAATTATTTAATTCTTTGTAAGCAAAGGTTAATATAAAAAGCGTAAAGGAGGAAATAGACGAGGAAGCCTTAATTGTGATGGATATTCAGGAGAGTATATGAGATATCGTGTATAGTCCCCGTTAAAATGGAAATGAAAAATTTTGATCCAACAAAGTAATCATGGAAAAACCATTTATAAATGGCTCTGAGCCAGACTTGGCCACTAATAAATGCTATAAAACCTTTTGCATCACTCAACAATAATCAATCTTCCTATATTTCCTTTAGAATAATGATTCCAAAAAACCGATTGAACATTGGCCCCTTCGCTATTATTTCTATCCATACTTTAGAAAAGGCAATTATTTCAGACATACCAAAATCGATTCAGGTAGATGCAGAAAGAAGAACATGACCTAGTCTTTCATTAGGCTCTTTTACAACCTTTTGAGGCTCTAAGCTAAAAGAGAGAATGACGTAAAGCATTGATAGCGCAATATATTATTTCCTAATTTTTAATTCGGCGGCCAATTTTTATTTCTTCTCTAATACCATTCTAAAATAATCCTTTTAGTATATGCAATTTTAAATGCGAATGTGAAGCTGAAGTCAATGTTACAACGTATATTCTCCCAGGTTTAATGATGATAAAGTCTCGAGGATTTCTCTATGGCAGAATGTTCGATATTTCTCCACAAAAGAAAATTTAACTTCTTTAGGTTAATTAAAATAATAACATGAATAAGAATGTAGAAGAAATGTATTGATGAAATTGTAATGGAATCCAATCTGTTTGGAAGATACCAAAAGATTCTTTTCTTTCTTACAAACTATTATAAGAACGACTAAATGGGTGGTGTGACCGGAATTGGGACGAGTGAATGTGTATGTCACGCAACTGATGGCAGCAATTCATTCATTGCTCGATCCCGTTAGAAATGTTACCATCTGCCGTCCTCCGACCGATTGGGTGTAGGATCCAACTGGATGCAGTCATGTTTGATGATGAATGAAATTCCGAATGACAATACTGTAGTCTCAAAATCTCTAGAAATATTCTGTTGGAAAAAAATATTCGTAGTCCATAACTTCTAAGCCAAAATGCCATTCATATCTCTTTAATTTTCAAAGCATATGTGATCGTTCTAAAATTTCAGTGCAATTTATTATTAAAAAAAGGAAGATAAAACATATACTTAACTATGAGAAGCAGAAAGAGAATTTGAACCCGTTTCTATGATTGAAAGGTTGAAGATTAGCCAATTAATTGCGATATGACAGTAATTTAATTAGGCATTTGTATAGACTAATTAAGATTTACTAGCGCTTGGTGTAGCTACCTAAAGTCTCACCATCAAGATCGGTCCAAGTTAATTATTGCTGTGAAGAATGAACATTCCGTATCTAATCAGTGAAGGAGAGATATAATAATGGTTCAGATAAGAATGATGGTAGAATACTGCCAAAACGGAAAATTTTGACTGATCCTCATTTCTCAGCAGAGATCTGAATTGATAGAATTTCTCTCCGAACGTCGGCTTAGTGAAAATTTTACAATATTGTTACTGTATAGGTATATTACTCGTATATCGATATAATGGGAATGAATGGAATTTCATGTCAAAACATAAATGTTTATCAACCAATAGAAGAAGCATGAATTACATGATTTAAAATCTAATTGTTTAGAGTTAAAAATTAATGAATTGAGAAAGTTGTTTATTGGAAATGTTTGAATGATTCGAATAATATTGTTTGCTGATATTTAATACAGTTTATATATCATTTTGATTATTTGATTGAAAAATCGATGTAATGGAATTATCTGCGAAAGGGTAGAAGAATTATTAGAGAACAAGGAGAAGCATTGTATTAATGATGTTAAATTGCTGTGAATGAGATTCGCTGAGTACTCGACTCGAATTTGAGATTTGGGAGGAGACGAAATCGAGCGTCTCGTATTGTTGCTATTATATTTATCGTTGAGGTCACTTCATCTTCAACTGACTTCTTGAATCAACAAATTAAATAAGCTCCAAAATTTCCATGCAATATTTAATTTCACTCCAAATCTATTATCAAGAAACGAGTACAATTTAAGAAGCTTTTAATTCAAATTGAATCCCTGATTCAATCTCATGTAGAAATCAATGTTGATAACCGAAATTATCCAGGAAACCGTATTTTACTTACACAAAGGTTTATTTAACTACATTGGAAATTAAGGATTGCAAAGGCCTCATTAAATTAATTAATTTTGAAATAGAATAAAAGAAAAGGAGTAGATCCTTATTTGGATGCTTAAAAATGAACTGCACTGCGGCATACTCGGAGTTGTTTATATTAGGAACAAAGTGAATAGAAGGATGTGTCGTTTCATAATAGGACACTTAATCAATTTCTATTATAGGTGCGATGATTCTTTCAAAAAATATTGCACTAAAACACAAAGACAAAATTGCTTGACAAATTTTATTCATTACTTCGACGTACATTGGAGATGAAAAAGGACGGTGTCCTCCTACAGCTGCTATTATAAGACTTTTTATTACTCTTTACGTTAGAGCTGAGATTTTTCTTTTTATTTATTCCTATCACTCATTTATTATTTACTCCTCAATGATGTTTGGACCCAGTATGCCTCAATAGTTTTTTCCGACTTTCAGATTATCGCTTCCTCATTAACTTTCCAATAAAGGTCGAAAAGATTCCTCGCCCATATGGCAGTGAATTCATCAAAGTTTTTCGCGCAGATGAAAGCAACAGTTCAAGAGAGCCCAATCCTGTGCCGCACTTATCTCTTCTTTCTCTAAACGTGTTGGTAATATGATTTCCTGGTAAAAGCATTTGGTCAAATGAATCAATACTAAATTAAAAGCGCAGCAAAACTTATTTGACCAATATAGATATTAATGATCTTATATATTAAGATCTTATAGATCTTATATTAAGACCTTATATATCTTATATATGAAGCAACGCAAAAATTTTACAAGCTATTTAATAAATTTTATACAAATTTTCATTTCACTAAAAGACTACCTTTGCAAAAGGGACGACTACTGTAAATAATCGTGCAAATGTTCCTTAATTTCGATTTACGGCCATGGTTCAGAAGAAATCAGAATTCAGAAATCAATCCATCAGAAGAAACATCGTCATATCTGTCACTTATTTTGTACCTCTACCTACTATCGTGAGTTCGAGAATACCCAAAATTATCCCTTCCGTCTTTCCTTATATTTTACTATGTTAAATGAAAATTAGCTTAGGTGAAGCTATTTGAATGAACAGCAACTATAAACCCAATATGTCTTAAGGTTCCAGCGCGTTGGTATTCCTTCACAAACGCCAAGTGGAATAAATCTAAAGTGGTCTTTACATCTGTTAGTAGCAATATCAGACTTTGTCATTTGAAGATTAGTTCTTCACTTCACATTTGTCCTAATTACTGTTAACAACGCAGTTGCTCCCTGAGTTCAATAAATTGAAATATGAAAGAATGGGAAAGTAGGGTACTTATTTTACTAATATATGCAATAAGTTATGGTCTAAAATAATATCTACACAATTAAACAGTAGAATAATAATTAAATGAGTGACGATTTGTGTAAGTAGAGCCAAGTACTCTTATAAGAACCAAATGATAATATTCCTACCAAATATACTGCAACTGCGAAAAGATAATATTCAGATATTTGAAAAACTTTCTGCCTTCTGAAGCGTGAATGTAGGCCAGAAGTTACCTCATCTTGGTATACATCTGTCACGTGCAGAAATGGCTCATTACAATGACTCATTACGGCTAAATGATTGCAGTACGTGAATTCTCAGCAATGTTGGAGAGTAGTAAAATTTGAGGAAAAATACAACCATAACAATCTCATTTTTCACTAGTAAAACATTCTTCCAATTTTATACTTTTCACGCTCATTGCTGCTCGGTGAAAAGTATGAACATAATTTGACAGCTGCTGCATGAACAAAATATTCGATGAGAAAATTTATTGATTTTATAAACTAAAACATGTAAATAACACGCAAGGCACCCTTTATCAGAGTTTGTAATCTGTACTTAATTTTTTCTTTGTTGCATCCATTTTTGGGGTCTTGTATTTATTACTTTTCATCTGAAAACAATAAATTAATTAAGCTGTTAATAAGCGATTAGCACCACATGAATGAGGTACGCCTTGTTAATAAAAATGTGTAATTCAAAAAATTTAAGAATTTCAGACCATGCTTCAATGAAGTTAATTTTTTTTCCAAATTTAAATCCGGATATTTCAAAGCGACTCTTACCTCCTCTTTGGTTTTGGTTTGAAGGCGTTGGAAAAACGAAGTAGACGTCAACTTCATATTATCCCTTTTGCTATCGTATTGAGACATTAATTTAGATTTCTTAGTAGATACTTCATTTTTTTCATTTTTCTTCGTTGTAAATTCCGCTTCTTGTTCTTTAAACTGTCTGATGTGTTGCCACTTCTGAAATTTACGAATATTAACAGCTACTGAAATGCTATGATCGGTCCGTGGCAACAGATACTCATATGGAAAAAAATTAAAAAACTAATCTTAACACTTGTAACAAACCTTCCAAAACTATGTGAAAAAATTTCTTAGTGGTTTCTTATGTTTCTCCTAAACTGTTTCAATATCTCCTTTTTTTATCTCCTTTTCATACGAATCTTACTTTAACAAATATAGAATGCTTTTTGCAACTCTTCATCTTTGGGGAGTTAAAAGTCAGATTCACCAATGATCCCATGGCTTGAAGAGGAGAAACACGTTTATTATAAGGAATTCAATTTTAATTAACAATTAAGTACACAGAAGAGAAGTTAATTGACCTTTTTTTTGCGGCGAGCGCGAGACCGATCTGTTTTTGTTTTCTCATCATCTCCCTTAATCGAACCACTAACATGTTTGTGTATTTCCTCCGGAGCTAAAAGCACAGCGTCGGTGGATGCTAGAGGTCCCACTTCCTCTTTTTGAAGTGAAGGCATGTTACTTAGAACACGTACTTCCGAGTGGACCTGAAAAAAGATGCAATAATGAAATACTTTAAAATTCAACTTTTTGATGTAATTCACCGAGACTGTTATGTGTGAATTTGAAGTAATGAATTAATAGAAACTTCCCTTAAATCGACGGAATTTAACTGTTCTTCGAATTTAATGCTGAATGAAAAATACGTTCTAAATATAATTGAAAGAAATCTGTTCCTCCTGTAACAACGAACTTACTTCAGACGGAATGTAACGGTAATGGCTCAGAGCATTTAATTTCTGGAACAGTGACGACAGCAATTTTTTGATTTCTTCGTGTTTCTCATTTGTCTTCTCTTCATTTCCCACCTGCAGTAGTACTACAGACTGTATATTTTTCGAGTTAAAAAGATTAATTGCCAATAAAAATTTAAATTTCAGACATTATACTAAAACTGTTCAAAAATTGAAACCGGACTCCATATTGAGTTTTTTGATACTGCTCTTCGTAAACTTCCGCAAGAGATTTTTTTACAACTTCCGATTCTATAACTGATGCTCGGCATGCCACATTTGCTTCCGGTCTACGTTCTGTTCTCATCACATCGTCAAATGCCTTAAATTTCCGTTTAATTTTTATTAGAGGTGAATGAATATAAATGGAAAATGGTTGTTCAACAAAATGTTATCCTTTACCATTAAATAAATAGATGTAAATTACAGATGAAATAATGGGATCCTTTTTGATTTAAATATTCATAATCAGACCCGACAAATTTCACTTACTCTATCCTTGATTCGTTGGATTATCTTCGCTTCTAGCTGAGCAGTTGTATCGACCGTAATAACTGGTACTAAAAACAATGGTTTTTCACACAACAAAAATTACAAGATTACAATTAACAACAACAGCTATAAGCACGATACTTGTAAAAATGAATCTCTACGATTAAAAATAAAGGAATAATTATTTAAAATCATGTTTGATGACAGCTAATATAAACCGCATGGTGCCGACTGATCAAAATCGAAGTGTTTCTCCAACATCGTGTTTTCCCCTCTTTCGATAGCTGTCACTTCACCACTCAAATCCCAACTTCTTGGAGCTAAATTTGCTTGTTCTATTGAAAAGATTCGTCTTTGGAGCTGAAAACAATAAAATCGAACTTCATAAATGTAAATAAAACAAAATCTAATAGCCTATCAAGAAACTTTGATCTTACTTTCTTCTGTCGATGTTGAAATTCAGTTTCATTATCCTCTTCCTCATTCACCTGACCAAGAAGGACCATTGCTTCTAAAATATCAAAATTGATTCAGTTGCAAAATATTTGAATACAACAAATGAACAGAATAAGAAGCAAAGATGCACTGAATCAATTAAAAAACCTTTGTCATCCACATGGTTGTCGTCTCGGTCACTCTCGCAGTCCAAATCACCAATCTCATCAGCAAATGTAACTCTTTTCTCCGTACGATTGTCCTCTTCGCCAGATTGCGTAACCTATAAAAATATTTTTTCAGAAATTGTTCGGCATTCGCGCGTGGCCATCTGGATTTGATTTTCGGAGTTTGCGCTGTTCCGAAAAGATATGATTTTAGGTGGATTTTTCCTTGTTGTATGATTTGGTGATTTTTGTTTTCTTTCATTGTAGGCTGATAAGTTAAAAATCTGAGAGTGAAATACGTTTGAAAATTAATTTCATAAATCAGAGGCAAACCTTTTTCGATTTGCTCAACTTATTCCAAGCAGCTTTTGAACTACTTTCTTCTCCAGTACTCATTGTGCTTTCATAAAAATCAGCGTAATGATAATCATTTTGAGAATTCTGCAAATGATCACCATCCTGAAAAGTTTTAAAATATATGATTCAACAGCAACTTCCCAAAGAAAACTCGCCATATCTTTTGAAGACAACTTCCGAAAATAATGGAAACCACTTAACTGTAGTAAATAAGATCCGATGTTTGCGTTTTTTAAACAAGATGAGAGAATAATGATCCATTACCTTATCGAACTGTTCGAAAAAATTTTCATTTAGATGTGTCGGATTTTTTTCTTGTTTATCCAAATAATCCTCCATCTCTGCTAATGAGAAAAAATGGTCATCAACTGCACTCTTCCAACGCTTTTTGAACACGCTGTCAGAAACTCTGGAAAAGCCAATACTTTCGTTATCCAACGCATTGCTATACTTGTCATCATTTCTATCCATTTTATTATCATTGACGTCCTTATCAAGTCTCTGAAAATGCAGTTATATAAAAGTGCGCTTCACTCAAAAATCAAGTGTATTAGACTAAAGAGAAACTGTAACAAGACATTCTTTCCAGAATTCTTTTTTTTTAGAAAGATATATCTACCTTAACTTCATCCTTCATAAACTTAAAGTTGTTGCTATCCCATTCAGTGTTATCAGAACTTTCGTCTCGAAATTTAGATGTAGCAATTGAAGAATGTGAATCATATGGTTTCTCTGTAAATTTCTTATCTGCAGGCATTTCAATGTCCAGGAAATACTGAAAAAAATGAATGCTTATGAGAAAAATAGCAATAAAATCAAAGCTTCACAATAAATTCAAAAAGAAAATGAAGGACCTTTGTTTTTGCAAAATATCGATGAAATTTTTTGTTTCCATAGGCAATTTGTTGCCAAATAGTCTCACTATTACTCGTGATCAGTTCCTCCGATATCGTCGGCACTCCCGTGTCTACTTTATTCACAAATGCATATGCTCTTTCAATACTACTCACAAGTATGCTCTCTTCACCACGTCTAAAATATTTTTAAAAAATTAGAGAGAAGAAGGGCTCCAAGACTTGAAACTCTGATCGCACTAAGGAAAAAGTTTACCTCAACCATAGTGATAGTAGATCATCCAACTTTGGCCACATTTTCAAATTGTTCTCTTCTAAATTTGTTACATTGATGAGTTCTGCTTCTTGTTCTAAATAATCAGTGCTAGATGATAAGTTCATCGGCATTTCTTGATTCTTCTCCGGGAATTTCTCCAAAATTATTGTCGACGATTTTCCTAAAATGTTTGCCAATGAACTGTCTGAATTTTTCGCAGGAAAAATATTTATATCATCTTGCAGAAAATGATCTGAATTCTTCATACGCAATTTTTTTGGATTCCTTGCGAATGACCTCTCCGAAGCTTTTGCAGATGATTTTTTTGGGCTTCTCTCTGGTTTACTCCATGACTTCTCTGTAATTCTTCGTTCTGGTTTTGTTGACTCCTTTACAACAGTTATATCTTCCGTAGAAGCACTCTTTTCATTACATTTCTCTGCAAAGCTTTTTTCAGCGCACACTTCCACATGCGCTCTTTCATTTTCTGATAGCTTTCCTTTCTTTTCCGACATTTTTTTTGCTACCATCTTTTTTTCTACTAGCCTGCTTTCATTATTATCTTCATCCTTGCATTTTTGTTGCTCTTCAACGATTTCTTCTAATTGAGGCATCAGCGAAGTTCTTTTTCGGCATGATTTTGGTGTAGTCATCTGAAAATGGAGAAAAATTCAACAACTGACCATTAAAATTAAGAAATTTGAATGAACCGAATCCTTACTTTATTTGAAGTTAATACAATATTGACTGCTTTCTGAGGATCTCCAACAATGACTGAAAATGAAAAATGATGAGACAAAATATACATGAATTTCATTAGAAGTGGACAAAAGTACCCAAAAATTACATGTGTGATATAAAACTAAAGTATATAGTAAGACGAAGTATAATACCTGCATCATTCAACTCCATACTAGAACAACGAGATCGCGACCGCGTCCGTAAAGCAACCGGCGAACTTTGAGAAGTTGAGTCTTTCTGAAATTGATAAAAAATGCTACAGCGAGAAGCTAGGATTGATTACATATACATCTCAAAAGCTAAAAGAAAGTAAAATCAAATCTGCTTGCTATTTCTAGAACGATCTATTTCCTTGAAATATGTTTGTCCTATAAATTAAAATTCTAATAATTCGGATGTCGCGTGACATTAGAAAGCACAGACCATTAAGTAAAGAATATTAAAATTCAGGTTGAATTTCCGGATAAAATTTAAAAAAAAATGAAGATAATTAACAATAATCCATTAAGAAAAATGAATTTTAGACTCTGCTCTAACAAAAAGAAAAGAAAACTTACTTCTAGTACAGTTTCGACCATCATCCCTTCTTTTTGCATGCTTTCACCACCTAACTTTATTCCGCGAAGTACTGAAATTAACTTCTTTCGACAATTCGACAACTTTTCCAACATTAAAATTGATTTGAATTAATTAAAATATCACATGTACCGTGTTTATCATCGATAACCCTCATGACATCGGTTGATGAACATGCACTGAAATCCACCGGTTTCTGCGATGCCAGCCTGCGTGAACGTCGTCGTGATGCCACACTGACGTTGGGTGTCGAATCCTGCATGAGTGTTAATAAGGGCTTTTTCTGGATTGATTACTTTTTGCACTTCTCCCTTGTTTCTCACGACTGTACAATTTGTCTCAGGTTTGACTTCAAGAAGAAATTATGAAATCCCCTATCATAGGAGACATCTAACCGCATTAGTAAAAGTTCAATCTTATCAATTTGTTAAGATAGCGCTTTCCTACTAGCACACCTAGTCATCGATATAAATAAAAGTATTTTATAAGAAATATTCAGTTAAACACTGGTAACAATAATAGTGGCAATGATGCGTGAAAATGCTATAAAATGGATAGTTTAAGGAACTCTTATTATCGAAGTCGTGAAGAAAGAGTTGCATCGCGAAAGCATGCTGTCATTGGTTACAGAATATAATCATAATGATACATAATGATAGTACTATGGTTGAAGTAAAAAATTCCACAGAAAGAGTAATAGGAAAAGGATAATATCTGTCGTGGAAGTTAATTTGTTGTTTTTGGAGGTGAATTGAAACTGACGGATACCGCTAGGATATTTTGGATATCATAAGACAGTGTTAGAGAATATTACGGATACAGTGGTTCCATTTGTAGTACTCCTAATAATACTGTTGGTGAATACCGTCCGTACTAATCATACTGTTAAAATACATAACTAATACTGACGATACTACAAGAACCGAATCGAAGCGCATTATTTAAAGCTCTTTTGGACACACAGAGAGCTAAGTGAAAAGTGATTATGCCCATTGGACACAAAGAGAGCTAATGGTTAGCTAAATATTTTAAAGTTATGCGACAAACGAAGCGCATCATAATAAAACGAGCTAAATAAATAAAATCAATGAATAACCTTTATAGAGCAAACTTCTATAATACAAATTTTAATTCAATAAATTTATTATACAGTTATTTTGGTTCCCGGCAATATAAAAGGGTGGTAGTAAGGGAAAAAAAATACGTATAAATATGCAAGTTAACTGAAGAAGAAGCGATTTAAGGAACGAACAAATAATATCTCTGACACCCCCAACAATGCATCCAATCCTCAACATTTACAAGTCAGATTCGCACTTCGCTACATCTTTCTCTTTCATACAGTTTACTCATCTCTTCTCTAACCGTCTTGCACTCCTTTTTAGCTACGCTGCTTCTTCTCCTATAATTTGCAATGTCCGATGCAACTTTCGGACATTATAAATTGCAAATTATGGTTGGAGGGGATAAGGCTATCTCGGTGTAGTTAAGGTTTCTTCCAGCAACTTTCTGTCAGCTTACTGTAGGGCCAAGGTAAAAATAAAGTTTTGTAAGTAATTGACTGAATGATAAACGTTTTTATGCCATCCACCGTTGGACCATTTCGATTCATGCTTTTCTTTGGTTAAGCTGCCAGTGGTTAGAAGTTTCTTTTTAGAATTGGCTTGCTTAAAGCTTTCCGTTTATTATTGTCCCATTAGAAGAGTTTTGACTTCATTTTTAATTATCTATTCATATAAAATTTCTATTTACTACATTGGATAGAACATTAAAAATAGCCGAATAAACAAAAAAGGTACTTATGTCACATCTTCCTCTACTCACTCATCACTTGGTGATGTTTAGTTGACACGTTTGCAAGTGTTTGCTATAAAGTAGCAGGCATATAATAAGCGTTTAATACTTTCCAAAGACAAATCTCCGTTCATAAATTAGATTGACAAATAACTGAACAATTAAACTGATAAAGTGACCGAATTATCTATTCACTTCACAAAAAACCTCTAGCTGCACTTTAAAATGTACAAATTCAAAAAGACGTTCGTTATTAATTAGTCGGTTATACCGGGCTGATGGATACGATAAATATCATGTCTTAGATTATCATCTAGGATAAAAAAATATTTATTGGAATGTGGAGACATATCCATTTAAGACAACTCGGGATCAGAAGCGAAGATCACTAGAATAGCATGAAGCTCATAAAACCGGTAGTTGAAAAAGACTTCAGAACAAAGAAGGATCCTACTCTAAAAGATTTTTTGATATTTCTGAAGACTGAGAGGGTGAGAATTAGGGAGCACAGATATACTTTTAACTTTTTAATGTCAATTTTGTCCTAGTTGATGAGTATGACGAAGTCGCGTGCCTTGCTGTCGTGATCAAATAAAATTTAAAGTTTCTCCCACTAAAAGAAAGTAAAATTTGAATTTACAGTTACATTTCTTCGGATTTCAAACACATTTAGATAACTAAAATTTGTTCACGTATGCTTAACACAACAATGAAGTGCTTATACGATATAGAATTGTAATATACTATCACTAGATGCTTTGCACCAACATTAATTATGGTGAAGTCGACAAAGGAGAACTTCTCATGTCGAAGATTGCCTGTTTAAATAATTAATGTATCTGTATGGGTTGTTTATGTTATAGAAATCATAGACAACAAAAATGATAGAATATGCTTTATGTATTTTCTTAATCTATGATTCTAAAGAATACTGCTAATGATCTGCACTGCTCTGAATCTCAACAAATATCCCAAATTATTCAACCGGATTAACGGCAAAGAATGAATAAATTTCCGTAATGAATAAACTTTTACAACAGCCCTTGTCGAGAAACAAACTACTCAAATCAAAACTTTGACGACAAAGATTTACGATTGGGACGCTACCATCATCACTGATGTTCACGTCCTTACCAGTATGTTGACCAAAGCCGTAGAATGGAAATTCTCATTGCAGTAAGAAAAGAAAGTGAATGAGAAAAACGTTCAAAATAAAACTTTGGCAGATTGAGAAGCACCGCTAAACCAGGAATTGTTATAGATTGAAAAATGATCAAAAATGAGACCTTTGAAGATAGTGGAAGAAGTGCGAGATTTCCGTTAGAAAAAATGTAAAGCTGAAATTTTCAAGCAAAGTAGGAAATGATAATTTTTGGGACAATATTAGGCTTCAATGATTAAAACTTTCAAATGAAATGGATTTCTCAGAAGAGCTATCCAAAAAGTTGTTAAGTTCTAATATGAGAGATTGAAAAGAGAAAGAAACAGATAATCACTTGACTGATTTTCCCTTGCATCGCAAAAAGTCTTTCGCATATAGTATCGGCGTAAAATTTGACTGACTAATTGTAGAAAGACAAAGGCGCGAAGATATTTTTGGAAGAAGTCGTATTCTATTAGGTAAATAAGCAGAAAAATTAGCACTTTTGGAAGCACTTTATCCAGAAAAAATGATGGAAAAAGAGCTCCAATTGATTCTTTCAGAGGGCACTTCGATATTACATCGAATTTTGATTTCCAGTTTTTTGATCAGCTTTGTGATTAGAATTAAATATTAAATTTTTCTGAATAAATCAGAATTATTTAGTCTTTATATAGATTTTCACTTCAGGATACGACGGTCCTCGTTTGTAGAAATAAAATTTTAACCCGCTTAGGATTAAAGTATTAACGATCCACAGCTTATCAGTTCTACCTACCAATATTTAACGAATGTTATCTTTCCACTTTTACGTCTCATTCCACATTTCAATTCGTACTGATATAAATCTCATAGCACTTTTTTCTTTTTTTATAAGCATAGAAAAGGCCAAATGAATCTAAAACGGTGAAATCATTAAAAGTATGAAATCATGTAAACCAGATCCTTATTTTCATTCTTCTGTTATAGTTTATTTATTGGTCATACTTGGCAAAGCACATATCAATTGTTCCCCAAAATTTTCCCCGATGTTTTTGCAGATCATATATTCTCGAATTTTCTATAAAATTATAAATTATAAAAAATTAACTGCAACGGAAAAGTGCTCCAGTTGGAAAACTGGTGGTGACAAGTGCGGTCGCGTGCGGTGTTTTCGTGCTTGCCTTACTGATAACTATCATGTTTAAGTTTTGCCATTCATGTTAGCTTTAGCTTCATTTTTCAGTATTTTCTGGAAGAAATTATCTGTTATTTACAAAATAGAAATAGTAGATGAGAAGTAGAAAAGTAAACAGACGGATTTGACTTAACGAATGTTACTCTCGGTCAGATAATCGACAACGTAAAATACTTACAGAATAGTCATTTAGCTTTATATATTATGTATATAGTTACGTCACGCTCGTGATCTCCATCATTAAGTGTGAGTCAACAAGGTAGCTTTTGCTTAAATTTTTTAATATCGTATGAGTTTTAATTGTCACCTAATGTTAAATTTATGCAGAATACAAATTTCTGTTTAGATTACTCAAGTCCAGGTTAATAATTTTATGAAAGTGACTGAGGAGGAAGAACGTTCAGATGGACTGGACCAAAATATAGCTTTGCCATAATTATTTCAATTATTTTAAATTTAATTTCACATTATGACAGCAATGATATATTTCTGCTATTTTATAAATTGATCGCATAACTATGCTCTCACAATAGGGCAAACTATCGTGAGAATGAATTAAATAATTTCAGAACCATTACTGGAAGCATTCATAGAACAGAACCAATGAAATCAAAGAGAATGGCGTGGGGAGAAAGTAATAAATAGATGGAAAATAACAGACAATAAACATCTTGTACTACTACTACTACTACTAGTAATAATAATAATAATTACAACACCAACGATAGTTATAACGATAATAGTTATAATAACGATAACACGAATTATCAACTACTTGTAATGAATCAGTAGTGAAGAATGCTTGTCACTCCGCCCTTGAGCTGATAATTTATACTATGTCCAGAATCGTTCGATTAAAATTAAAAGTTTGCAAAATCAATCGACTATCTACTTTTGAAAATTGTGTACCTTCTTCAGTAATGAGCAAATGGATAGAAAAGGTGAATAGGTATCTGAAAAGGATCCAGGAAGTATTAAAGTGAGAAGGATAGCAGTAACAAGAAGAACTAAAAGGGACCGACAAAGTAAAATTGGTAGACATCACACCATCAGTTTAGCAAATTAATATAACTATCCCTTTTTTACATCAGTGATAATTTGGGCTCGGTTCTCCAAATTTCTGAAATGTCGCATTCTCCAAAGCACTCTC